TTGACAAGTTAATTAAGGCATTTAGGGATCAAAAAGCAAGAAATGTGAAGACTCAAGTGTGTAAAACAGAAAAAAATAATTATTAATAAAAAAAAAGAAAATCTGAAAGGTTTTAGATTTTAATTACGTTCAAAGGGGCGTTTTATAACATTTTTTGTATTACCTTTATTTACTAAACATCATGTTCTTCGCACTTAAACCATCAAATTCCGTTCAAGAGCAATATTGCAAAATAATTTTAAATTCAGCATATCTTTAGAATTTCCGATACACAGCCTCGCGAGCTAGAGATAATTTTTTTCCCTTGCAGTGTTGCCATGGCTCGCTTTGAAATGAGTTTGTTAATCAAAATTTCGTTTAAGTGTTACAAAATATGAAATTGATAATAAAATAAATTTTAAGCTAGAAATTCGGGCTTCCAGATGCCCATATTCAGTGGAAGACTACGTAATTAAGAATTTGATGGCATTAGGTACCGTTGTTTTATTACAATGCAAAAAACCTACACACATTTATGCAGACTCTTCAGTATTTAATTTCTTTAAATATAACACAGGACCTTTAATAGTAGTTGCAACAACTGGAAAAGTGAACCGACATTAAGAGTGAACCAACGCCAAAAGACAAAACGAAATTAATAGCCCTTCTGGGCTAACGCTGTTTGGGCTAAAAATAAATAGCCCCCCGTAAATAATTTACTTCTTTGGTAAGCAATATACACATGAAAAGAATTGGTTTTACGTTTACTTAGAAGTAGTTTATTTTAAGCAAAGAAAAATTAAAGAAAATTCTAATGAGACAGATGTGCTGGTTTTCTGCTGCATAACAAATTCAATGCTGGTGCGATATTTGACACTGCCAGGCATAAACCATCTTCAACATGTTTCAACGTTGAATAACATTTGGTTTTAATTAACGTTAAAACTGAAAGTAGTTTTATAAAAATATGTGGTGCCAAATGAGAGAAAAACATTTAATCCCATTTCAGAAATAGTGAGAAATTTAGTTCTAACTCCGATCCAGAATTCATCCAGGACTGTTATCCTAAACATGAGTTTCCCTAAAAGTCCTGGATGGATTTTGGATCGGAGAATCCAGAATCATCCAGGACGTTTTAATTTTGAATCGCTAGATAGCTTTGCAATTTCCTTTTGCACTTTAGTATATAACGGGTAATTATATATCCTTTTGCATTTTGTATAACGTGTGACGTGCTTTATTTTTTCTTACGCTTCTTTTCTTACTCAGAAACACCCAATTATTTAAAAATTGCTGTTATTTACATGATTTCGTTTTTGTTGTTTTTCATAAAAGTAATTTTTTCGCATTATTCTGTTTTTCTTTATGAACAGTAATTTGCTTTCATAAAGAACGGTTACAAAAATTTTACCTTTCTTTCCTTCTATTAATTGCAAATTTGCATAGATTTCTTATGCATTCATATCAATGCATTCAAATCAATTAATCGCATTCATATCAATTAATACAACGTCTTTAAAAGTCTATCTCATTAACGTCAATTAGAGAAATTTTTAAAAGTCTTACGAATGCAGTTGCTGTGAGCTCAACTATGGAATTTAATTTTCGCGACCTCAATTCGGCTCGTAACCCATAATTTAAGAAACTCTGGTCTAGGAAGAAAAAAAAAACTGTATTCCGAAGTTACAATAATATTATTTTCAATAGGCGGAATACATTTTCATTTAAATTAATCAGTAGATAGTTATGAGTTCCTACAAATGTGCATTTATGTTTTCTGTTGATATTTATACTCTGTTTTTATTTTATCCTTTTACTCCATTTCTGTGCTATCAGATCTTAACATTCTAGGAAAATTGCGTGTGACGTGCTTTTCTTTTTCTTACTCAGAAACACCCAATTATTTAAAAATTATTTACATGATTTCTTTTTTGCTGTTTTTCATCACGTAATTGTCTTGCATTATTCTGTTTTTCTTTCTGAACAGTAATTTGCTTTCATAAAGAACGGTTACAAAAACCTTACCCTTCTCTCCTTCTATTAATTGCAAATTTGCTTAGATTTCTTATGCTTTGATTGATTAAGTTCAGTCAAAGTCTTGTTCTGTTATATAAAAAACATGAACATGCATTTTTTCATAAAAGAACGTTTTAACAACATTCAGATAATTCAAACAATTAGATTTTAGAAGAAAATTATAAAATTTTTGCTTTCTCGCTAACGGAAAAGAAATCACATCTTTACTTAAGATGAGAACCACTTATAACGTCACTCAAGCCACTGAAAAGTAAATAAAAAAAATTCTGAGCGCAAGAGTTTCGATAGAATGTAACTAATACAAACAGGGATATTGTTAAAAACAGATCTGAGAGAGAGTTATTTTAAAATCTGTATACAATCGGGTGGGAAGAGCACTCAGTCTTTTTTATAAATAATAGCCCAGCTTTCCTGCTAAGAATTTTATACCTTTTCTGTGGAAAAGATCAATTAAGAAAAGCACAGTTCTGAGGAACGATTCTCAGGTTACAAGAATGTAATATTTATCCGGGAATCAGTTGTGTAAACTCCGAAGAATATAGAAAAATTAGTTCGTGTTAAAAGTATGCTACAGAAAATACTTGCAGAAATTACGTGACAGAAATGATATTAAGGAATGATTAATGCTGAAGTGTTATAGGCTATTTTGAATCGCGCATATCCATTTGTTCCACGTCTCACCAAAAATTTGTCATCCTAGCTTACATAGAAAGCTCTGCATGTCACAGATTTCAAAATTTTCAATCACTTTTCTCGTTTATAAATTTGCTTGAAAGCAGAGTCTACAGAATTTACCTGGCGGGCTTTATGGAAGCATTTGGCGAATATAAGCCAAGGTCGTTAGCGCCTTTTGGCGGCTTTATTTATGCCGCTCCGAGGAACGTGAAGATACTTCGTAAAATAAGCCATTCCATTTTTCTTCTTTAAAGACTATCAGAAAAGAACCAACTTCAATAGCATAAAGACAAGATGAGATTTCTTTGTTCGTTTTAAATGCTTCTGAATTTTTTTTTAATAACAAACGTGCAACAGAGTATCTACGAAGAACTTATCAAACTCACTGCTTTTGTGAAGAGTAATATAAAAATTTGAGAGAAAATAAATTTCAAATATGTAAAAATAAAATTTGGATCAAGCTAAAATCGAAAATAAATGTGATTAAAAATAAAATCTTGGGTTTCCTATATTAAGACACTAACAAAAATAAGTTTTTAAAAAAATCTGAAAGCTTTCAGATTTTATATTACACCCAAAGAGGAGTTTTTTTAACGTTTTTTATGTTAATTTTGTTTATTCATATCATGTTCTTCTCACTCAAATCATAAAATTCAATTCAACAGAAGTATCCCAATATAATTTAAAAAGAGCGTATCTGTAGAATTTCTGATACACAGCCTCGCGCATTAGAAATATAATTGTGGCTTCTGAGCCAATGAGTGATAAAACCGAATTAAATAAGAAGGTTTTAATTGATACTCTTGACTTGGGCACATGTGAAAACTTTGATAGCATCAGAGCTAGATTGGAAAGAGATGCCATGATAGATCCAGATTTGACACAAGAGGAAATTCAGTGGGCAATACAAGCGCTGCGTGGTAAAAGCGCCCCTGGGCCAGATGGAATTCATGCTGTTTTTATAAAGGTTTTTTATGGATTTTACTCTGAATTTTTATATCTTCTTTTTAATAGGTGTTTTAGATTTTGTGTTTTTCCCGATGTTTGGAAGACGGAGAGGCTCATAATGATTCCAAAATCAAATGGAAAGAAGCGCCCTATTGTCGTACTGGGTTTTCTGGGCAAAATTCTGGATAAAATATTGCCTAATAGAATACTTTTTTGGGTTTTGAAAAGCAATAAATTGAGTGGAAACCAACATGGCTTCCTTCCTCGCCATAGTACTGATACTGCTCTGCATGATGTTACCAACTACATTATAGAAAATAAATCTGATAGACATGTTGTTGCACTTTCTCTCGATATTTCATCGGCGTTCGATTCGATTAGTTGGTCTTCCCTATTGAGCACTCTTCTTGATTTGCAGATCCCACACAATATTATTAGAATTTATATGTCCTATTTTGAGAATAGAACTATCTTGTTTAATGACATAAGTTTTGATGATAGGGATGATGCCATCGTGAAAATATATAAAGGGTGCCCGCAGGGCTCCTGTAGTGCACCCCTGTTCTGGAACTTGATTATAAATAAATTGCTTAAGATTGATTTCCAGGAAAATGTTAGGGTTGTTGCATATGCCGATGACATTCTTGTTCTTTTGAAAGAGGAATCCTTGGAGAAGTTATAAAAATTATTTCAACAGATTACTTTGAATCTTGAAAAATGGAGAAAGGATGAAGGACTCCAATTCTGTTTGAAGAAGACTAACGCTTTGTTTTTCCCTAAGGGTGGCGAGAAAATGCAGAGCCCCTCAGCTCAGGTTTAATGGCTCAAGAATCAAATTCGTCGATACCATGAAATATTTAGGTGTTATCTTCGATTCTAAACTTACCTTTGCTGAACATTTTAAAGCTGTACAGAAGAGGACTAACGAAATATTAATCTTTTATAAAAGTTCATTTTCTGCTTATACTCTGAACATCAAAAGCAACACGATTCGTGATATTTATAAGAATGCCGTTATACCAATAATTATGTATGGCATAGGATCCTGGGGTTCCAGAGCAGGGGAACTCTGTAGAATACGCATGAAATTAGATACCATTCCAAGGAGCTGGTGCCTGGCCATGACGCTACTTTAGACAGTCTCCACAGAAGTTTTATGCATCCTGGCCGGCACTCCGCCTCTCTCAATTCTTTACAGTACTTACTATGAAAGGTTTCTATTCAGAGATGGTAGCCTTGATTTTAAGCTTTACGGGGATGTATTGATTACCAAATATGCATTTGAAAAATTCGACAGGCTGCTTGTTCATCCTGCTTGCGATATTGCTTGTAACTTTGATAGAGATTTGCCTATTATTGATATGTTTGATATTTATACCGACGGCTCGGGCATCGATGGAAAAATCGGAGCTGCTTTTGTCGTGTATTACTATGGTACTGGGATTCACCAAGAATGCTATAGAATGAACTCATATAACTCGGCGTTTCAAGTCGAATGTTGTGCTCTTGAAAAGGCTCTATCGTATGTTCAATCTGAAATTCCATGTTCTTCTATACTTAATATTTATAGTGATTGTCTCTCTTTATTACAGGTTTTATCCCGTCCCATCTCTACAAATTATACCATTTTTAATATTAAGAAATTGTATGGTGACATCTCTAGTAATGCTACAATTAGACTGCATTGGATTAAAGCTCATGCAGGATTTATGGGCAACGAGAGAGCGGATGTGTTGGCTAAGAAGGCTGCTTTGTCTGATTCTGTCGATTATATTGAAATTCCTGGATCAAAAAGAATAGCTAACAGAGTAATATTGGAGGATTGCTTGAAGGAGTGGAAAACCAGATGGTCTGAGTCGGAGAAGAACAAAGAACATCTACGATTCATACAGATTAAAAGGCACATGACACTTTACAATAATATTGATGTTAATCAATTCCTCACTGGGCATGGAAGATTTCCAAGTTACCTGAAAAAATCCTGCTTACAAGAGACAGATCTATGTCCAAGATGTGAGGTCCCTGCAGACTCAGACCATTTTTTCTATCGATGTGAAATCTTTAAAGACTTGAGAGACTTACACGGTATCACAGATGGACACGTTTTGGATGTACGTAAACATGTTAAGTATGTGGAGGCCGTTCTGGGCTACATAAATGTAAATAGAATTGAATGTGGAATTTTAATATGAAATCTCTTTTAACTATTATATATATTGATTTTATTGTGAATGATGTTTATGGAATGTTTCTGTGCTTTTAGAATTTTATGGGGAATTTTAATGAATTTTTATAATTCTTTTGACTTTGTATGGTTTTAATGATTTTACTTGTGATCTTTTACATTTGTATTTTATGCTTGATATTCTGAATGTTTTCAGAAAGTACTATTTTAACTTTGTAGTTATTTATATTATATTTGTTTCATGCTTTGTAATTTTAATTGTGTTGCACCACTCACGTATACTATGTTTGTATTTTGTAATGTATTCTAAGCCTTGTGTTTTGTTCTTTAATGTTCTTAGAATTCTTTATTTTGTAAACCCGAAAGAGTTTTGTTTCTTTGAGTTGTTTTGTATATTCACACACATATACATTGATAGGATTATCAGTGAGGGTATTTTCTAAGCTTAATTTTGTCAATGATAGCTCATAGAGTATTAAACCAATGTTCAGTTGAGTGCTTTATATATGTGAATCATTTCTGAGATCTATGCTTAATCGTTTATACTACAATTGTAATGATTAAATTTTATAATCTGAATTTTATAAGTAATCTGTACAGTACCACTGAGAACTAGAGTCTCAGTGGTCAAATCGGAGGTGATCTTTCTGCTGGTTCAATTTGGTTTTAGGTTAGTTCCGACTTAGTTTGGGAATTCGTCGCTGACGTTTATTCCTGGCCCTTCCTGATGTTTTTTTACTGAGTGTGATTTTATTGTTTTTCTTGTTTTGTGTGGTATAGTGTGGATGTTTGTTGTATGTTTGATGATTGTCATTTCCTTTAAATCTCTTTTTGGTTTATTAAACTAACAACATTATTTTGATTTAGTTTTCTTTTGTTTCTCTCTCTTTCCTTTTTGTTTGCATGTTATATCAGATTTGTGGCCATACAAGATTTGTATTTTTACGTTTGCTTTTGTTTCTTTATCCTAACGTTTTGGTTACCGAACTCATTCTTTGGTTTCTCGTGGCCAATACTAATATCCTTTGCTCGGTGATCATGGCCGGGCCGCTGGTAGCCGTCGTTTGTGGTTTGATGGAAGAAGCTCCGATAACCATATGGCAGCAATGTCAGGTGGGTGGACTTCTCTCCTCTTTCTTACACAGCCTCGCGCGGTTCAGATAAAAATGTTTTTTTTTTTTTTTTTTTTTTTTCAGTGTTGCCACTGGTCGCTTTGAAATCATTGAGTATGTTAATCAAAACTCATAAATACTTTACAAAATCTGAAATAGATAATAAACAAATTCCAAATTTGGGCTTCCAGGTGTCCTTATTCGCGTGGAGGATTACGTTATTCAAAACTGGATGGCTCTAGGTACCGTTGTTTTATCACTATGCGAGAAACGTGCTAGATTTATGTAGATTCTTCATTATTTAATTTCTTTAAATATAACAACAACTACAATTACAATGCAACAATGGCAACAAATTAAAGAGTGAATCAGCGCAAAATGCCAAAACGAAATTAATAGTACTTCTGGGCAAATTGCCCCTCCGGGTTATAACTTTAAGGAAGAATAGAGGTAGTGGCATATGTGGAGTAGAGTGATGACGTAAGTGACTATGTGAACAGCACATAAATAACATATCTGACATAAGTTACTAGCCTCCAAACTCCAAATGCACGCCTACCGAACGCACAATCTGAAAACAATTGACAGGCCAGTTTTTTTTTAGGTAAAGGAAATTTTTTATTAAAAAATAAAATATTAAAAATAGTTTAAATAATTAAAAATTTAAATTTTAATAAATTAAATTTTTATTAATTTTTAATAAATTAAAATTTTATTAATTTTAATAAAAAATTAATAAAATTTAATTTATTTAAAATTTTTAAAAGTTTATTTGTTTAAAAAATTTCTTACCTAAAAAAAACGGCTGTCAATTTTTTCAATCGTGCGGTCGGTAGCCGTGATTTGACCGGTACGGCATTTTGCTAGCACGGCCGGAGGCGGCATTCGGTAGGCGTGCATTTTGCTATGTTACCAGCTGCCAGCTCACTGCTGGACAACATCTCTTAATTCCATCTACTAATACACAAGCCTATTGTAAATATTTAATAAAGCAAAGGCATCTGGTTCGTAAAATTTGTGTTATAATGTCAAAGCTCTCCTCACTGGGTACTGATCTATGCCAGAGTGCTTAACGGGTCAGTACAGCAACTTATTATATGTATTATATGTAGCTGCAACATTTACATGGGATGTCAGTATATGCTACATGCTTTATGATCGAACATTAAAGCATGAACTATGCAGTCTTGCAATTATATGCACCTTATATATATATATATATGTATAATCGATAAGGAACAGTATGCTACATATACGTGCCCATGCATGGACAATATAAAACTTAAGTATATATTATATACAATTGTAATGCCAAGCCATGCATTCTAATACGTACTAAGGTACTATGTAAACTAATGTGATGCAAATATATATTTAGTAAAAGTTCCATACACTATATGTATATAATATACCTATGCAGTATCATGTTTCATTTGACAATGGAATGTATACTCGGAACAACGTTAAAGCACTTGTAACACTGTAAAGCAATATCAGTATGTCTAACTTTAAAGTAGTTTTATTTTGAACAATTTTCTTATGTAGTAATGGAATTACGTAACAACATATCAGTCAAGTGTATGCAAAGTCTATTAAGTGGCACTATGTTTTAATTGAACAATTTTAGATATTAAGTTGTTCGATGTTTAATTGAATATTAAATTAAGTTATGTAATATTATGTTCTAATTGAGATAACAAGAATAATTGTAATGTGCAATGAATGTAATGTATTTAAGTTATGCGATATTAAGTTCTAATTGCGTAATATAATTATGTAGTATTTTATGGTACAGTATTATTTAACAGTAACAATTTCTATTAGCAGTAATATAATGAAACAAAAATAAGTGTTTTTCTTTTAGGATACTAATGTTACAATTGAGAATAATATGTGTATCAATATTTCAACTATGTTTTGCTTGAATATTATGTTCCTTTTAAGTAGTAACTGGTATGGTGCATGAATAACCTTGCGCATTATATTAAGAGGTAATGATTAAGTATCATGTTTTATAAAGATTTAACGTGCAATTTTTGTGTATAGCCAATGTTCTATGTTTCCGTATGTCCAATGTTTTTTCTATGCAAATACATGTTAAAATTAAGTATATATGTATACTCAATTAATGTAAAAGCTCTGTATAATATAGCATGCAAATATATAAATAATTGCATCTGTCAAAAGGTTTGAAAATTTATGAGTAAGCACATCGTCTTATCCCAATTACAAAAAAACCATTTCAATGTGTGCGGTATATATGAGTGGTATTTCGTATTTTCAGTCATTATAATGTAAAATTGCCATGTGGCGGTGGTGCTATAAAGTATCACAAAGCACTCTCTTGCTCTACTTAGCAAAACGTTAACATATGTATTGGTATATGTATATGCAATGACTGATTATGTCGTTATTCATTATCAATGTTTACATATTTGTATAATATTTTCTTAATTAATTTGTATGACACAAATTAGTGTCCTTGTAAGATTTTGCCTGTAAGGTAAAATGTCAAATACGAATTGCCCATTATCTGTACAAATTGTCCCTATACTTAGTAAAAAGTTAACATATGATTTGGTATATGTATATGCAATGACTGATTAAGTAATTGTAATATTTCTATGTAGCATTTTGTGCGTTTTGAATTTACAATGCATGAATGTACTTGAAGGATTTAAACTTAAAACGGTCACATGTAAAAATGAGTAGCTCATAATCAGCAGAATAATGTATAAAAACTGCTGCTACTCATTATCAATAATTGCAATTTGTATTTCGTAATCTTTCACCATTTTGTATGACATAATTAAGTGTAATTGTAAAACTTATTTTTAAAAAGGTAATACGCCAAACACGTGTAGCCCATAATCTGTACAAATTGTTAATACTCTTAACAGGAGTTTACATGTGTATATGTAATGGTAAGTTAAGTATATGTAA